AGCCCAGTTCTCTCTCCTGCCCAGGGCAGGGGGTCAGACTAGATGATCTACAAGGTCTCTTCCAACCCTACTCCTATGAATCTATGACAGCAAAATTAACTGAAATTGAGAATTAAATTAAAATTCTAAAAGACTATATTCAAACTAGACGATAGTTGTGGCAATGTCACTGCAAAGATCAGCTTACTTTGCTTACAAAACAAAAATTCATAACTTGACTAATGCCTGTTTCAAATGTGAAGACACCAATTTGTAAAACTCAGTACAATCAGATTCACGTGATCAGATTCACATGTGTATTCTCATGTGCTGGTATTTCACATCCACTTCAGTGTCAATGACTACACAAAGTGGGAAGGCCAGACAGAATCTCTCTTGAGTGTAGGCTCGCTGACAAAAAGAGAAGTCAAGTATGTGTACTGTACAAATTAAAATGAGGTAATTAGCTATTATGACAAACCTCCTCTCTTACCATGTCTTTTCTTTCACATTTTTATTCCACTTTTCAGCTCTGATTTGGTAAAGTGCTTTGCAAGGGCATCAGTGGGATTCCTCACCTGAGGAATAGGCTGGGCATAGGTTTCAGAATCGTGTTGAATCAGGGTTTAGCCTTTGATATACTTTGCAAGCTATTCATTCACATACTTTACTTTCTCTAATAAAAAGTGTCCTTTTGTCATGCTTCCTCCACCAGACCTTCTATTCCTAGTCTCACTTCAATCCGTCTCTCCAGATTTAATTTGATTTAAAAAATGAAGCAGAAACTAAAAAATACTTCCAGTTTACTTTACTCAGAGGTACAGTGAATTACGTTCAAACAGTTAGTCACCTATACTTCTTACCTGAAAGCGCTGATAGAAAAGGGAGCTCGCTTTATTGGACGCTGTTTTTCAGTAGTTAAGTTCGTTTGCTTCATCTCTGTACATAAAACCAAAATTAAGTGAAATCCAGAAGCATTCAGGCTACAGAGAGGTGAAGCATTTAAATACAGTATATTATGCAGAAAAATGACACCATTAGAATAGCCCAAAAGAAACTGTTGTCTCAAGTTAATATGTTCAGATAAGCATTTCAAAACATTTGGCCTCCAACTCTACTCATATTGCAATACAGAAATATTAGGACTTCCCCATACCATGGTAGTTAGCATGCTTTAAATGAGGGCTAGCCACCTGGTGATGCCGGAGAGGTATTCAGCCACTAAGCTCTGTGGGGCTGGCAGAGCTGACTGGAGTGCAGCTGGTTCTGTCCACCTCCCAACTGCGCTCCAATCGGCTCTGCCAGCCCCATGGAGCTCAGCCCGGCGGCTGAAGGCAGGCAGAGTCGGGGCTGCGCTCCATCTTCCGCCACTGGGCTGAGTTCCACAGGCGCTCTCTACTGGAAGCTGAGAAACTCTGTCCCCAGTGCTGGGAAACTCAGCCCGGCTGGGGGAAGTGCTTCCCCAGCTGAGCTGAGTTTCCCAGTGCTAGGTCCCAGGCGGCAGAAGCGGCCTCCTGTCATCCAGCAGGCAGATCAGGGGTCCACCTGCACCCCCAGGAGGGCTGCGGGGGCTCTGCCAGACTTCTCCCAGGGGTGCAGGCCCCTGATCTGCCTGCCAGATCACAGGATGCTGTTCCTGCTCCCCAGCTCCTGCTTGTCAGCAGCTTGAGGTACAGTTTCCTAGAAACCCCTGTACCTACCTCCTTGAAACTTGGCTTCATGCTATCAAAAGGGGCTACCATATTTCCAAGTTTCATTGGACTCAGGCAAAAAATGACAAAGTTATAGGACGTTTTGGGCTTCTGCATTATAGCCTATGGGCAAAACGTCGAAATAGTGAAATTGTTTTGACGAAACGGAACAGAACAGTGCTTTTGAAACGAAACTCGAAACGAAACACTGTTCCATCAAAACGCTGAAACGGAAGTCAAAGCAGAACGCTGCTGTTTCACACAGCCCTATTACCGACACTGTTTCCTTTTTAATGGTCTTGATGTTTCACTAATCAAGCTAGCCCTTTTTTCTCCAATTCTGCTCTGTTAGCTGCTCCTGATAATGTAACTTCTATTTCAGTCTTGGAGACTGTTTTTAACCCATTCCAATAAAGTTATATTTGCTTCTGCATCAATCTTAAACAGAATAATAAAGAACTAGGCCCCAAGCTTATTAGTAAAACTTCTAGTTTCTTTTTACTTGGAGGAAAATGTATACTGTGTTATATATGATGATGCACCTCATCATGCATGCCTACCTTTTCAAACTCCTACATCTGTCCATGAATATACTCACTCATGTTCTAACAGTCCATCACTTTTTAGCCTCAGTACTGCTGAGCAGCAGCACAATAAAGAAACTGCTTTATGCAGTACAGAACAGAGTTGCACCCTGCAATCCCATAAGTCCTTTCAAGGATGCTGTGGGGTGCCAAGCCATGCTGGCACTGGTAAATGTGCAGACATGATTCACAATATAAACCCATGATTTTAAACAGGAAATAGGAATAAGTGTTAAAAACATTCTGACCTATTATGATTTTTCTCAGTTCTTTGCAACAGAAGAATTGTTTTATTTTTACAAAGTAAAAAACCAGTGAAGTCTAAGAGCTGGCAGTTTCCAAGGAGTGACTTGAGTCTAAGAGAACCACAGGTATAGAACATCCCTTCCCCTGAGCCTAATGGCAGGACTTTCCAGAATTTAACATGAAATACTACATAAAACCATAGGTGCAATGGTTGGCAATACTCAAAGAGAAGTTATTACAGTGCAATTGTCAAAAAGGTCAAATGCATTTACAATTTAAAATGTTGTGGTAACTATAGTGAAAACTAGTGGTAACCTATAATAAAGGGTATGCACAATATAAATGAGATTTTGACCTAAAATATTTTTCCAGTAAATTGTATCTGGTAAAACACTGATTCTTAAAGCAGAGTTTGATTGTTGCATTGCCTGCTACTTGAATTAGATCAATATTTCACAAAAAGCTTCCATTATGTATTAATACTATTCAACCAGTTTCTGAAATTGGCACAAATCTTTTTGCAACACAGTTTGGGGGGATATTTAAAAGAAAACAAGCTGTGTGCCCTTTTCAGTGACTGTATGATAAAGCATCTCTTATACAATGAAAGGGTCAGGACAAACACTAGAGGCTTCTGAACACAGAATACTACATACATTCATTTGGCTAGAAAACTGAACCATACAACTGTCTCCCTAAAGCTTCACACGTATGTTCATGTAAGAAAGGCCTTCTCAAGCCTGACTCCTCTGCACTACCAAACATGAACTTGTTGAATTCTGGTTAATTCTTGTCATGGGACACTTACAGTTACCTTATTTTTAGAAAAGACATACCTGAAAAGTCTAACCTGTAGTTAAATTTTGCAGTAGTAAAACAAAGAGAG